TTTTCTCCCATCTCTCCAGGGTCTGTGGGGCCAGCATCCCCTTTGCGGGTGATAAGATAGGCGCAGCGGATTTCCTTCGGGAGGCAGCTGGGTGCAGCATGCAGGTGTCCTAGAGCTTGGCGGCCCGGACTCTGGCCCTGGCCCATGTCTCCTGTCCATCGCTTGGGTCATTTTGGCCTCCCTGCGTCTGTTTTCCCCATAAGCACCATTTCCCAGATGCAGCGGTATTTTTGAACGTGATCTATAACGCGTTAGCCAGAAGCATTGACCAGATGAATCACCAGACTATTCAATGTCACGGGAACGCAGTGCTGGGCACGTCTCCGAAGCATCGGTGAGGCTCAGGGAGCCGCCGATGGAAACAAGGTGCGGGGTTCAGCCAGACAGCGGTTGAGTTGTACCTCACCTTAAACCCCACGTCCCAGCTCCGCGCCCTCTGGCGCCCGGCTCACCACTGCCTCCCCAGTATGAGCTCCTGGCACACAGAAGGTTCTCAGTAAGTGTCTGTTGCTGAGTGGATCGCCCCCATCAGAGAAATGGACAAACGAACACGGGGCAAAGCTGGACTCCATTTATAGGAAGGTCTGGAACCACCAAAATGAGTGAGAGTTTCTAGAAGACAGAATAGTGGTTGCCTGTTGGGAGAGAAGTATCAACAGAGAAGGTTAGTGAGGGAGCCTCTCGGGGTTCTGGGACCCTGGCAGGTGAGGGAGCCCCTCGGGGTTCATGGGGCTCCATATCTCTACGCCCATGGCAATTACACACGTAGCAAACAAGTCACTCCGGACGTGTCAGATAAGTACACTTTACGCATTTATTCTTCTCGGTTTTTCTTCAGTTCTCCTAATAACCTAGGAGACCACTTCCTGGCACAACCACGGCTGTCTGTTCCATCACAGCTGTAGCTTGGCCGAGAACGTGACCAGCTCCCTGGTGTCACCAGGGCGGCAGGACAGGCCCCATAGCTGGAGCTATTCCCACTGTTCCTCCGTCTTTGCTCCCCAGGAGGCCGGCTCCCTGGTGGGGTCCTCCTGCAAAGGAGCCGGCCCGTGAGCCCTCAGGGACGAGGGGCTGGGCTGGGCGGCTTCCCCAGCCTCAGCCTCCCAGTTCCATCCATCCCTGTGCCTAACGGGTTAACACAACCAGGCGCCTCACCGTTTGCTTTCCTGGCGTTAAGCAATTCATCCCTCCAAGAAAGGGTTTATTTTTTTCTGTATAAATTCACTTCTAACAAGTGTTCGTAAATCAGATTTTATTCCTATGGGATTTACTATGTATGAATGGCATGTCATTTTATTGAGTTAATGCTATTCCAGAATCCTGTGTCTGGCACACAGAAAATCTCCCCGCTTTTCACTCTCCTTCTGCATCTGGAAAACAGCCCCGAAAAGCCAGACCTGACCCAAGCTTCTGATACTCAGCCTCACCCTGGAGTATTAATTTAACATCATAATTGAAGCCTAGAAAAAAAAAAAAAAAAAAAAAAAAAAAAAACGCGTCTACTCGAATGTCTGCCTTCCTGCCGGGAGACACGCAGACCCTAAACCTTCACCGTTCCGGCCCGACAGCCTCCCTCACACACCACCCTCATTGGATTTCCTTTCTGATACTGCTTCTTACCTGCCCACCCACTCATCAGTCAGCCCCAGACCCCTCCTGGCCGGCGAATGACCCACGATCTGCAGGTCTCTGTCCTGCCGGCTTTTCCCGTTGCGTGCACCTAGAGCTTTCCGGACCCTCGGGAAGGGGGGGGCGGGCGCTGGTTCAAAGCGGAGAGGGCACCGTGGGGTTTTAACAAAGCTGGAGTGGCCCCTGTCCTGGAGGCGAGCACAGCGGGAGAAAAACAGGTGGGGTCCCTGCCTCCAAGGGCTGTGGTCTGGCCAGGAGAGGTGGGAGGTGGAAGGTAAGGAACACGCAAGCAGGTGGAAAATAGCGCTGTTGGGATGAGCACCACGGGGGGGCGCTCTACGCATCTCTGGGAGGGGAGGAGGAGGAAGAGGGGGAGGAAGAGGGGGAGGGGGAAGGACGGCCGCTGTCTCGGGTGGTCTGGAAGATGCTCTGTGGTCCTGTGACGCTTGGGCTGTGAGCTGAAAGAAGGGGACGGTGGGCCAGGAGGACTCTGGGGGAAGGGGACAGACAGCCTTGAGGACAGGAAGACACGGGACTCTCGGCGTCTCCTGTGGTTTCTCCCAAGCTCACGGTTATTCGTTTGATCTGCCGACATAGTTTAGAACACGTTTTCACGTGTATTTGTAAACCTGTTTTTTTGAGTGGCTTCTCGCGTGTTGACAGATACGTGCGGACGTCAGCACAGCCGGTTCTAGAACATCTTCACCACCCCAGAAAGACCCCGTGTCCCCTGGACTGTCACCCCCTGCAAATCTACTTTCCATTTACTGTTTTATTAGGTGGTCATGAGGTCGTCATTTTGAAATGTATAAAATACTTAATCCTCAACTTTAAAAAAAAAAAACGCCGATGCATCCTGAGGGCTCCTCCGTCAATTCTGATAGGAAGGCTGGTGTTCTGGTGTCAGACAAAGCAAACACCACAGTGCTCCGAGCGCTGCGATTAATACGCTGCCGGCTCCCCGGCGAGCCTCCGCCCACCCCGCGCGCCCAGGCGGGTCTGGCCGGGCTCTGGGCCCTGCTTCCAGCGGGAACTCCGCACACCTGTAGGCCGAGCACCTGTGCGGCCCTCAGACCCGCAGCGAGCCCTTGACTGCAGCCCATGAACCCGTTCTCCCGTCCCGGCTCTAGGGAAGAACATCTCCAACGTGGAGGAGACCGTGACCCTGGACAACGGAGGGTTTGCCGCCTTGGAGCTCAACAGCCGCCACCTCAATGTCAAGAACACCTTCTCAAAGAAGAATGGGACCAGGTAGGGACGCAGCGCCCGTAACCTACCTGGGCCACGTCTGCCCAACGGTCTGGCCGCGGGCATGTCGCCGTGCCCACGGGCACCCGCCACAACCCAACAGGGCCGCGTTGAGTCTCGGGGGGGCGCACATGGCGGGGGGCCCGGGGCATCCTTCCTCCCGTTCCAGAGATGCAAAAAGAAGACCCGTCTCGGGCGCGGAGGGGCGTGGTCTCGGGAGGCCGAGCGCCCGCAGGCTGGCTGAGCGTTAGGGAGTCCCTGCTTCTCGGGCACACGGGTGCCACCAGAATGGACGTCCACCCATCCCAACAGGGCAGCAGCCAGAGGACGGGTCAGGAGGGCCCCGGGGAGGTAGCTGCGGCCCGGATATCTGAGCCCGTGTCCGTCCCGTGGGCGGCGTCCTGTCCTAGGTCCCCACCCCGGCCCAGCCCCGGCGGGCTGCACTACTCAGACGAGGACATCTGCAACAAATACAACAGCGCCGTGCTGACCGAGAGCACAAACCTCAAGGAGAAGTCTGTGGACGCTTCGGAATCTGAGGTCAGTGCACATGGCCTCTGTCCCCGCTTCTGTGCCAAGCCCTCTGCCTTCCCGAGGTGCTGCCCCCCTGGTCCCTGTGGAGTTGAGGGGCAGCAGGGCCAGGGGCAAATGAGTCCCTTTGACCGATGAGGAAAGTACATGCTGGGACTCCTTCAGACCCAGAGGTCACTGCCCCCCGGGCCAGCTCTCACATCAGCACCTTGCCCAAAGGGGCTTCCGGTCCCGAAGCCACTTGACTTTCCGTTTGGCTTCCGTAAATAAACTGTGTTTTCTGGTGGTGACCGTAGAACCTGCCTTCTAGACCCCGGCTGGAGTGGCAGACGGCCTGAGCCCCCAAAACCCACAGAACCTGGGACCCCGTGCCCGGCAGCCCCTTCCCCTCCCACCCGCCCCGCTTTGTGCTGAAGCGGGATTGAGCCAACACCGTTCAGGGACAGTTACAGGGTCTGGTGAGCCCTGACCTGAGGCTTGTCTCTGTCCTCACTGAGCAGATGGACCAGGGGGGTCTTGCCCTCGCGGACGTGACCCCCACCCAGGACCCGTGGGCCTGCATCTGCGAGGCGTCCTGTGTGTCTGAGTGCTCACTCGTGCAGCTGAGCACACAGTGCGAGGCCTCCGTCGGGGCAGGCCGGGGAGGGTGTCATCCAGAGAGGAGGCAGCCGTGGGAGACTCCAGGAGGGGTCAGCCTTCCCTGCCCCCTGGGAAGTGCCTTTCCCCACAAGCGTGCTGCCTCAGGGTCTGACAGCGTCTGACCCTAAGGAGCAAAGCCAGCCGAAGTGACGGTTTGAGGGGTGGGTCCCTATCAGTCCTAAACGTCTTTATTTCAGACGTGCCCGGTGTTGAGAGGGAGGAAAATCACCAATCCGTTTGCTAGACACGTACGCCTGCCCCACCTCTTGACATCCATACTCTAAATCAATATTTAATCTAAAATAAGTCCCACCTTCATTTGGACCCGAATTCAGGCCTTATCAAGCCCCGAGGCTCAATAAAATGGCTTCTTTGAAGTTGTGGTTAGTATGTGAACTCCAAGTGAGACGGACGGCAGGTGGCTGTCGAGGTGACACCGGGTCCACTCTGCTTCGAGTTTCCTGTTTACAGAGGACGCCGGGCGCCCCGTCTGTGTCGTTGCCTTGGGCACGGTGCAAACAGCAAGCAGCAGCCGATGTTGCATTTGTCTGAAGTCAAGGGCTCT